AGAACACTTGTCTAGGATGCTCAAGGTCCTGGGTTCAGTCCTCGGTACTGGAAAAAAAAAAAACAGTTCTAGTTTTTAGGGGTCCACGTTGGATGTTTTTTTTTTGCTGTTTGTTTGAAATGGGGTTTGCACTTAGGGCTTCTGTTTGCAAAGTGCTCTACAGTTTGAACTATACTTCCAGTCCATTTTTTTTCTGGTTATTTTGGAGATGGAGTCTCTCAAACTATGTCAGGAAGCCCCAAACCTTGAGCCTCCCAATCTCAGTCTCCAAAGTAGCTAAAATTAAGGTGTGAGCTATAGGTCTGCATTTTATATCTGCATTTCTCAGTATTTTAGTTGTCCAACTTGTGCAATGTTGAAAGTACAAAGAAAAGTTGCAGAATTAAAATCCTATTTGATGAAACGTTTCATTGTCATTAAGCCACATACTTTTAGTCCTTATTTCTGAAAACAGCAGGTTTTCAATTTATTGGAAGTAAAGATTTGAAATGTTTGGTTTAGGCAAGAATAGTCTCAGTTTATAATCTGAAGTGTGACATAGTTACCTTTTTTTCCTGCAAGCTGTGCTAAAGGTGTCCATTGAAGGGTCTCTGTGCCTTTTACCTCAAAACACTTGATTAAAATGTGGGGATTAAAATTTGACAGCTGACTTCCCTGGAGTAAACCTTAGGTCCTTAATGTCCTTGATTGGCAAGGTTGAGGAGGAATACTCGTACTTGCTAGTTCTTTTATTTATTTATTTATTTTTTAGCAGTACTCAGGGATGATCTGCCACTTGACCCATGTCCCCAGTCCTGTTGCTGTTAGTTTGTTTTTCTGGTAGGAGCTTCAGAATTTGCCCTGATTGGACTGGGACTGCAGTTACCCAGTCTCCACCTTCTGAGTGACTGGGAGTAGTTGGGGTTACAATTGTGAGCAATCGTGCCCTGCCCCATAATTGCTAGTTCTTTGGTTTTGACTTTGTTATCAGGTATCACTATGGATCATTTCATGGTACAGCAGTTGCTTCTAGGGAGGGGACATTGACAGGTGATGTTGACATGTGCATCTTGATTTGGGAAGTTTGACTGAAATGACCACCTAATCCAACTTGAATCTTGAGACTTGGTTATCGCAGGGACCCAGACAGGGCCATGTTTTTTGTACAGTCTTCAATTTAATTCTCACACCAGCTGTCTGTGGTGGGTGCTATTAGAGTCTCATCTTAGAGATGGGAAGGGAAGCCCAGTTATTTGCTTAACCTGTGTCTGAGAGAGAATTTGAATCCAGAAAGTTGGATTCTATCTAAATCCTCCTGATCTCTGCCTCTTGAGTAGCTAGGATTACAGGTGTAATCCACTGGCACCCAGCTAAATCCCACATTCCCCTCTCTGTTCTTCATCAGTAAAAATGCCTGTATTTCAGGATTGTGGAGAATGATGAAGATAACGAATCTGAAGGTGCAGGAGGATAGTAAATGGGAACAACACCATTTACCAGGAGCTGCTGCTGATTTTATTATAATCATCATTTATAAACATAGCAATTGAGCTTCTTTTATGTATGTTTCAGTTTTTCTACAAGGAACTTTTCTACAAGTATTGACTGCATATTAAAAAGCAAAGAATTCATTTCATTTCAGCAATAAAATCAGCTGTTTTCTTTACTGTTTTGTTTGGCAGTGAGTTTCTGCTATCTATTCTTTCCATCATGCCAGGGAGACTCAAAGCAGGCACACTGATAGTAAGAATTTTATTTTGTTCTAAGAACTGTTGCAGCACAAAAAGATTCAAGTTTATCCAGCTGAAGAGGATAAGCACATGTTTCAGTCCCAACCTCACAATATTGCTAATGCTGGCATTGATGTAACTTTGCCAATTATGAGATTGTTTCAGGCCTCCAACACATACTTGACCAGATGAAGCACTTTAAAGTGCCTCTTAACTCATCAAGCCTTTTGTGTTCAGTGGGGCCTGCTGAAATTGAAAGTATTTGTATTCTGGTTATGTCATTCAACTAGAGAGGTTCTTAAACTTCTTTGGCCTTCTTTCCGATGCTGGGGAAATGAATGAACATGGACAGGAACAATGCAGAGGTGAGTCCATGCATCTTAGATGGCATAGAGAAAACTCTGGGGTCTGGTGGGGTAGAGGGTGGCAGATGAGGTCTGACTGTAGATCCTGCATGCCCTTCTTGGAAGCCAGCAGGTGAAAGCATAATAGTCAGGCAAGAGGAAGAGGACTTTCCAGGCAACAGCAATATCCAGAGCCTGACAGAACCACTGCAGTCTGTGACCCGCCAGGTGAGGCCACTGGGCACATGTTCAAGTTGGTGCCATTGGCTGTGGGCCAGTAATGAGCCATCTAAGATGAAGTGCTTGGAGGCACTCCAGGTACTCCCTCTTTTTTTTTTTTTTTTAAAGTTTTTAATAATACTTGTGCAAGGGGTTTCATTGTGACATTTCCATATATGCATATAACATACCTCAATTCTGTTCATTCCCTCTATTGTTATCCCTCTTCCTCTTCTTCTTAAAATGATTTAGACCAGGTTTCAATGTTCCATATTCATACGTGTGTAGAAAATACATCAACCATATTCACTCTTCTATTTTTTTTTTTTTTTGGTGGTATTGGTGTTTGAACTCAGGACTGTGAGGCACTCTACCACTTCAGTCACACTCTAAGCCCATATTCACCCTTCTTTTCCCTCTTCATTTATCTTCCCCCTCTGCTTCAGGATACTCCCTCTTGGTCATTTGGGACTCACGCTTACTTAGGAAAGCCACCTTTAGATACCTTTTCCCACCTGAATTGAGGTAGGGACCACAGCTGAGGCCTAGCACAGTCTGAGAGAGGCGAGGAGGGAGGATGACTGACTGAATTGAAAGGAAGGGTGTGTTAGCAGCCGTTTGCTGGAGGCCCTCAGAAGTAATAGCTAGGATTTCAGGCATGAACCACCAGTGTGCAGCTAGGGAGTCAGTATTTTTAATTCTGTACAGCTCATGACTGAGGAAACTTAAAAGACAAAACCTAAAGGATCAACTGTTGTGCCCTTAGTTCGTAAGTTCATAGATCTGTAACTTTTAAGAAAATAATTATTAAATGCAAGTTAGAGAGTAGGGTGGCAGAAACTAGTAATTTGTGGACCCTACCTTTTGGAGTTCTCAATCTCTTTGGTGTGATAGACTGCCAGACCCTTGAGAAAAATCATAGGAGATGGTGTGGACCATGTATCAGGAGACATGATGGCATAGTAGTCTCCCCTTACCTGAGGTTTCACTTTCTGTGATTATAGTTACCTATGGTTACCGCAGTCTGAAAATATGAAATGGAAAATTCCAGAAATAAACAATTCATGTTTTAAATTACAGGTTGTTCTGAGTAGTGCGATGAAATTTCATACCATCCTCCTCTGTCCTGTGTGAGATTGATTTATCCCTTTGTCCAGCAAATCCACAGTGTGTATGCTACCAGCTAATTAGTCACTTAGTAGCCACTTTCAGTATCCACTGTTGTGGGGGTGCATCTCAGTATTTATGTTCAAGTAACCTTTATTTTACTTAACAAGGGCTCAAAACCACAAGAACAGTGATACTGGCAACTTAAGTTATGCCAGAGAAATGCTGTAACGTGCTTCCTTTAGGTGTGAAAGTGAAAATTCTTTATCATATGCTTGTATGTAGAGGAAAGATATAGTGCATATATAGTGGTCAGTACTGTGCTGAGTTCCAGGCATCCACTGGGGCTCTTGCATAAGGGGGATTACTAGATTTCAGCACTTGAGAACTCTGAGACATAGAATTGGTTCAGGAGGCTTAGTGTTCAGCTATCACAATGTTTTTCAACCACTTCTAGTATTCCGCATTAATAGTTCTTATATTCCCTGACCAATAACTATAATAGATGTAATTTTAGCAAAAAGGGAGGTTGAATAGCTGTTGGGTTGTGGCTGTTTACCCATGTCCCACTTTACCTTCCTTCCTAAATGGCATGTTGTATATCTTTGGAGCCTGCAGTTAGTGCTTGGGCAACACCTAGCATCTCAAATCAAGATAATGCACATTTCCCAAGAAGTGTTAAGGTGTTTGAAAAGGTTTTACATTTCAAAAGTCCCACAGCAGTTCTTTGTGTCCTTGGAAGAACTTTCAGAGCTGTTTTGCAGGCAGTACTGTCTGCTCAGTCTTGGAGACTTACGTCAGAGAGCCTACTGTTTGGCTTTGCAGACGCAATATGGTGCTGAAGGTCATACTAGCAGAATAGAAATGAAGACATAAAGTCCAAATGTGTATGTCTAGCACAAGAAGATACCCTCTAGGGGACAGAAGGAAGCGATGTGGGCGGTCTTACATTTCTCTATCTGTGTACTTGCCTGGTAGATCACACTAAACACTCATGATTAATGGGACCTGCAGATGCTGTTGGTTGTTGGTTGTTGTGTGCTACTTCAGGGCACTTGGATTGCAATACACAATCATGAGAGAAGTGTTTTGGTGTGAATCCAGCTAAAGAATGTAATTTTATTATGACCCAATTTTCTTCTGTTTTTCAGTTTTGATTAAACTCCTATACTTCCTGTTCTAGACTTGAATGCTCGTATATGCTTGAGAACTCTCCCTTTGTTCTGTAGGGTGATTGCATTTCATGAAAGCCTCTAGCAATTTTTAGACTTAATTTGAGTGCTGTTGAGAGCTTAAGGTTACATTGAATGAACTGAGTCCTATAGTAATGGTTCTTCCTTAGGCACCTCACACAAAAAGGAACTCATCATTTAAAAAGAGTAATTTAATTAAAAATAATTCATTAACTATCATCTTTGTTTGTAGTCCTCAAATTGATATTCCAACTGTGCACACATGCAAATAGACATTTTTACATGCATTGCTGTAATTAATGTGTAAATACTATTGTCTAATAGTATTTCTATTTACTCATTAAATACTTTATACTTGATACAGCTCTCAAATGCATTTTCATGTTCTCGTATATCTAGTTACATAAATGTCAGTGTTTACTTTATAGAATGTGGAGGCCCTGGATCCACGAGGTCGAACGTTATTGCACCTTGCAGTTTCTTTGGGACATTTGGAATCTGCTCGAGTCTTGCTCCGACATAAAGCGGATGTGACCAAAGAAAATCGTCAGGGATGGACAGGCAAGTATACTTGTAAAATAATTTAATTGATTTCAATTTCCCTTTCTGAAAAAACTAATCTCAGTCATGATTTATTTCCAAGTCAGATGTACCTCTTTTGGAATGGGGAGGTTGGGGGAGAGAAGATGGGAGCCAGGATGCTGGTCAGCAGATCTGCAGCACAGTGGTCTGAACCTTGGATGGAGGGTGACGTCTTTAACAGAAACAGTCCTCATGCAAACCCTCCACCATGCATTAGTGTGGAGGCTAGTTTTACCCTGGGAATATGGTGGGAACTCCGCTGAGCTCCTACTCCATCAGGTAGGCAGAAATTGAAAATAAGTTATTGTTAGAAATAGCCTCTTACGAATTCGCGGCATTTCACTATTTTGCAAGCTCTTTTACTATTAGTCAGAATGATTTTGTGTTGACTGAGCATGGATACTCATAAGTGCAAGTCCTACCTAACAGATCTACTTGTAATTCTGTGACCACACAGTGAGAGCTAACTCTGAAACACTGTCAGAGCTTTGGAACCAGTGTGGAAATGGGGGTAGGAAAGGGTAGGAGAGGTTTCGCAAGAGTAGTATGCTCCACTTTCTTTTACTCAGTGGCGAGCCAGCACTCAGAAGTTATGGTCATACCTGATAAACTTAGACTACACAGTGTTTCTCCCCCTTTGATGCAGATATTGTCCTTTGATCTATACAAATAACTTTTCAAATTGGCTTTGGAATTGATCAGAAGGTATGAGAAGACTTGGCGATTAAACTCCCTCCCCCCGCTTTTTTTGGTGGTATTGGGGCTTGAACTCAGGGTCTTCACCTTGAATCACTCCACCAGCCCCATTTTTTTGAGATAGGGTGTTTTGAGATAGCACGTTGAAAACTGTCTGCCTGGGCTGGCTTCAAACTGTGATCCTCCTGATCTCTGCCTCCTGAGTAGCTAGGATTATAGGCATGAGCCACCAGCGCCTGGCAAATCTTACCCTTTTGTTTTCTAGTTTTACATGAGGCTGTGAGTACTGGAGATCCTGAGATGGTGTACACAGTTCTTCAACACCGAGACTACCACAACACGTCTATGGCCCTTGAAGGAGTTCCTGAGCTGCTGCACAAAATTCTTGAGGTAGCCATAAGATTGGCCATGCCATACTTTGAGCTAAGTGCTGCTACAGTAGGTAGAGACACAGTTCCACACCTTTGGGCACATTCCTTAAAAGTGTCATGAATAGTGAACATATTTTGATTGTCAAACAGCACCAATTGCCTGTCCATCTTGTTGAAGTGTGGGGTATCTTGCAAATTATGTTTCTAGGTCATTGAGCTTACCTTTTTAAGTACTATTTAAAATTACAATTTAAGGACAGTGGACATCAAACACAATTTATTTAGACACTTTTTTTTTTTGGCAGTACTGAGGTTTGAACTTGGCCTCATGCTCTCTAGGCAGGCATTCTCCCTCTTGAGTCACTCCACCAGCCCTCTTTTGTATTGGGTATTTTTGAGATAGGGTCTCATTTTTGTTGATTGGACTAGCTCCAAACCATGACCCTCCTAATCTCTGCCTGCTGAGTAGCTTAAAAGCAATACCATGCCCAGAGGTAATCTTGAGGAGACACTGGTGAGCACAGTTACTGTGCAGGCATTTTCAGGGCCTGCTGAGATCCACATTGTAGGTCTGTGTGCTACTTCTCCTTGCCATCCTTGTCACTTCCAGCCATTAGTATTTTGTGACCTTTTTTTTTTTTGTGGTACTGGGGCCTGAACTCAGGGCCTACACCTTGGGCCACTCCACCAGCCCATTTTTTGTGAAGGGTTTTTTCAAGATGGGGTGTCACAAACTGTTTGCCCTGGTTAGTTTCAAACCACGATCCTCCTAATCTCTTCCTCCTTTAGTAGCTAGGATTACAGGCATGAATCACCAGTTTGTGACTTTTAATGCATTCCCAGTTATTGGCTTTTGGGCAGTTATTGATCTGTGAATTAAAGTGTAGGAGTTCTGTGACTCTCAGAGGCCTTTCTTCAGAGCTTGTTTAGAGGTTCTAACAGGGTAGAATGACTACTCATATACCCTTGACCCAAGAAGGTCCTTCTCCACTGGGGATGGTCATCCTCTTTGCTTGAGTGCATAGCTTCAGGAGGGATGCACATGGAGTGGAGAGGGCGCAATGGGACACCCACCTAGCTAGCCAGATCACCCAAATCAACCCTGGTGATTAATGGGGTGACAGATGTCGCAGCCAGGTTGCCTTCAAATGCCCAGAGCCCTTTCTTTTAACTGTTTTACTTCTAGACTCATAGGTTGTTTAGGATGATGGTTGCTATTTCTTTGGATAATCTTTGTTACTTCAAAGAACTGTCTTATCCAGTCAACCAGATGGAGTATTCTCAGGGCAGCAGGAGATAATAAAGTAGCAGTGGTTCAATTTTCAATGTTGATTCTTAACCTAAGCACAGAAATGAGTTCCCTCAAATATCTGTTAAACATGTAAGTTAAATCAGCTTTACAGCTTTAGTTAAAGCACATTTCTTAAGAAAAATTAATAGCTCTATCAAGCAAAGGAACAACTTTGTCTTAAGTAAGACAGTCACTATTTGTTATTTGAGCACTTAAAATTTTTTTTTTCTGTGACATGTAAGCAAATTCATGCCTAAGATATTCATTTCCTATGTAGTAAAATGAAGCCTTCCATGAAGTATGAAATAATTTTATGTATTGTTTTAAGAATAGATGTGTATTTAGGTCTTTTGTATTTGTTATTTTCTTATCTAACTGTAGGAGGAACTAAAACTATTATTTGTCCATTTGACAAGCAATAAGTGTGTAAATTCAGTGTAAATGATTTTTTTTTGTTTTATTTTACCTGTATTCACTATAGAAGTGAACTGTAGTTGATTTGTATTCTCTACTTGAAGTTATAGACAGTCCATAAATAACTTATTTAGTGGTACCAAAGGCTGTGATGTTTTGTCTTTCTTTTTTTTTTTGATCCATTCCCAGCCCTGTTTCATGAGGTAGGGTCTCATGAACTATTTGCCTGGGGCTGGCTTCAAATTGTGATCCTCCTGAACTTTGTGTCCTGAGTAGCTAAGATTATAGGTGTAAGCCACCAGTGTGCGGCTCTCCCTTAATTTTTCAAAAGCTGCATTAACCCTTGCTGTATTTGTTAATAGTGCTGAAGTTCATCTGTTTTAAACCTTTATCTGTCCTTCAGGCTCCAGATTTTTATGTACAGATGAAATGGGAATTCACCAGCTGGGGTAAGTGGCTATAGGCTTCTAATTTATTTTTGTTTCCAAATTTACTCAGCATGTATATATATATATATGTTTTTCTTTTGTAAAAGCTATATATGTATGTTTTAAATCTAGATCTAGGAACTGCATAGAAAAAAATAAGGAAAAACAGTTACCTCTTCTTTCACTTTGTTTTCCTTTCATCTTTCTCCCCAAGAACTGTACTTTTGCCCCAAACATGTATAAATATAGCATATAGACAGTTTTATTTTCTTTGTGGCACTGGGATTTGAATTCCGAGCCTTAAGGCTTGCTAGGCAGGTATTCTTACCACCTGAGCCACTCCACCAGTCCGCATACGGACAGTTTTGTCTCTCCTTTCATCACTTATTGCTGTCATTATTATTATTATTATTATTATTATTATTATTCGTTACACTGGGGAACGAACTCAGGACCTTGCTGTTTTGTTTCTGTCCTTTCCCAAAGAGACAGGCTCTCACTATGTTGTCCAGGCTGGCCTTGAACTCTTGCCGCAGTCTCCTGCGTAGCTGGGACTAGGTGTGCACCACCATGCCTAGCCATTGTACCCTACATTTGCTTCTTGTTGATCAGTTGACAATAACTCTTAACTCCAAGGGTTTCAACCATTTTCATTTCCAGGCAAGATGTCACAGCTGTTGTGATGAAGTATTTAAATGAAGTAAAACATTTATAATAGAAGAGAACTTCAGATTTTTCTGAGAAACCAAGGAGTTCTTTTCTAATTCAGATAACTACTCCGATTTCAGGTTTTATTGACAAGTGGCATATTTTAGGCATTCGATAGTTTAAGTGGTGCGTATGATAATATGGACATTCCCAGCCATATGGCAAGAATTGCACATGTGAATGAGAAAAGCCAGATGGACATACTCTATACTTTATGGGGGTCAATAAGTAGGGTTCATATGGGGATTGAGAACACGCTTGGGAAATTTGTTTAGAGCTTTCTCTGACAAATGGAACAGAAGGTCCATTTTTATTTCTAATTAATTATTTATTTTTTTGGTGCTGGGGGTTGAACGCTGGGCCTGGCTATGCTAAGCATGTTCTACCACTGAGCTACAGCCCCAGCCCCTCTAATTTTTAAAATTTATTTTAAATCTTTTTTTGGTGACAGGATCTTGCTATGTAGTCTAGGTTGGTCTCAAATTCACAATCCTCTGGCCTCAACCTCCTGAGTGCTGGGATTATAACATGCACGACCAAGCCTGGCTTCCATTTTTATTTTTAATGGTGACTTCCTACATATTAAATGTAGGAGCCAAGTCCAGTTCTGTTTGATAGTCATAATCTTGCTATTCCCCTCCTTTTATTAAAGGCAGAATCCTAAGTTCCTGGCCTGGGTGGGTGTTCTGCACGACCCTTAGGTCTTTCTCAGTACTATACTTTTCTCTTCCAGTGCCCTTGGTTTCCCGAATATGTCCAAATGATGTCTGTCGCATTTGGAAAAGTGGTGCCAAACTGCGTGTCGATATCACATTGCTGGGATTTGAAAATATGAGTTGGATAAGAGGGAGACGTAGTTTTATCTTTAAGGGGGAAGGTAAGTGATTCCATTGTAGTAATCACTGCTCAAGCTAAGTTATAGAGTGATTTTTAACCATTAAACTGTGTTTGTATTCATGGGCCTTATCTGTCTGATACTATGTGGGACTCTATTGGAGGGGGGTGGTTCTTCTTATTAATTATTCAGCTCTTTATCTCTACCTGAGTTCTTCTCTGGCTAGTTGTCTTGCACATGTCATTTACCACCCAGTAGTGTTACCTTTGTGACATGTGAGCCTTTGTCTTGTAGTTCCTAATTTGCCCTCCACAGTTAGGCATGATCCTCCTTATGGAGGGTGAGAAATGGCAATGCTCACTCAATGTGGTATGTGAATAATTTATGTTTAGTAATAATGTATTTTATAAAGGTCATAGATGAAATATATTGCTAATAAAGAATGCAATTATTTAAAAAATATGCATCTTTGGAGAAGACACTCCAGAGCTTCCCATGAGTGTTGGAAAGCTGGCCAGGAAATCTCTGTGCAAGTAGTTATTCAATAGTCAATACTCTTTAGGTTTTATCAGATAGCATCTGATAGGAAAATATGAAAAATCATGCATTTTTACAACAGAGACTTCCTTGTTTGTATATCTTCCTTGCATTGAGCTTTGTTATGCTTGTTTCCATGAACAGACAACTGGGCAGAATTGATGGAAGTCAACCATGATGACAAAGTGGTCACCACCGAGCACTTTGATCTTTCCCAAGAAATGGAGCGCCTCACTCTGGACTTGATGAAGCCAAAAAGCAGGGAAGTTGAGAGACGGCTCACAAGCCCAGTCATCAACACCAGCCTTGATACTAAAAACATAGCTTTTGAAAGGTATGAATTTAGACTCTAGATTTTAATGTCTAATCCCTGTACTGCCATCTTTAGTGACATCTATGTATTAATTGGAAATTATGGATGAATTTTTTTTCTAATGACATAATAAATACTAGTCGGTTTTAAGGTTGAGCTCTACTCTTAACCACATAGGAACAGTAGCTGATGTCCTACATTGCCTTTCATTTTTGTAGCACATTGGTTAAATCTTGGAAAAATGTATTCATACTCTTTTTTATGAGCGCTATCTAGTGAATTTTGGCTCTTATTTTTGTTTTGGTAATTTTGTATCTACAACACTCCCTAATCCTAAACCATGAAGTTTTAAGTTTCTGGAAGCTAAAATTGGTTTGAATTGAATTCATCTGCACCCTTACTGTATAGGTAAATATGGCTCCTTTTCTCATTTGTGAGACTTAATAGTTTAAAACAAGAGTCTAAAAGGGGTTCAGTTCTAGGCTGTATGTGGAGAATTCTCCAGAGAGATCTGGGCTTTGGTTAATCCGGATGAGAACACCATCCCTGGGTCATCCATCTGTGGGTCATGCAGAGGTTGTGGGGGCCTTTGAGTGTAAGTGAGGGAGAAGCTGCCACATGTCTCCCATGGGACACAAAGAACTGAGGGAATCCATGAGAGCCCTTAGTGTTTGCCTAGGATGTCACATCCAGCTCTCTATAAACCAAAGTAGCATAACCTGGCTAAAATGAACAGTTACCTTGGCTTTAGGCATTCTTTCTTCTTCATGAGTATGCAAACTGCCCTCTTTTTAAGTTTTTCTTTTCTTCTTTGTTTCCAATATAAAATTGTTTAATAAAACTGAGAGATTTCTGTTTAGTCAAACTTTAAACTTAAGTGCCCTTTGCTTCTAATTTAGATCAGACTGTGTAATTAGGGTATCTGTTTATAGTAGAAGGAAAAGCCAGAATGCACAGCCTGTGTGATATCCGTGAGCTGCTTCTGCTTTGGTAGGCAATAACATCTGCTGAGCCAGGGAAATCTTCCCTCCAGCTTCTTTACACTGACTTTACCAATTGATAGCTGTTCTCCTTCAGCGACAATGACTCTACCAACTATGGCTTTGCTTAGAAGGGTCTTGTAGAGGTATCTCCAGGCTTTCACATGTGCCTCTGCAGGCAGGGAGGACAGCTTCAGCTTAGGGCTCTGTTGAGGAGGCTGTCCTTATCACCATGGCCCATCAGGAGAGATGAGTTTGGAGTGGGAAAGACTGAGTGCCATCAGCAGGGCTACTAAATAATTGTGGCTTTGGGTAAGTGGTGTAATCTTTCTAGTTTTCAGTTTCCTTAACTGCAAGGAAAAAATGAATGAGTTTCAAGATGAAGTCTCCAGAGTATATGACTCTTAGATGTATGAGAAGAAAGAATGTTCCCTGTGTAGATTAGCAGCACAATTGCTAGAGACATTGTTAATAAGTGTAGCTTATAAAGGGAGGATGGCAATTCCTGGCTTTACTTCCAGTGAGTGCAGATGGGAAATGGTAGCATGTTCCATTTGTACTGAGGACGAAGGCACATTGTGTATTTGTATGGTCACAAGGTTTTCAAATGGTTCAAGCCGACTTTCTTTTTGCAACTGCTGACAGTGGGTGCTGAGTGAGAATCTCTGGAAGACAGCTGCTCTATGGTGCTCATAATTAGATGTGAGATCAGTGAATTTGTCATTCATTGAGCAAGGATTTAAGTCACTCTTAAGAGTGAGGTTTGCTGGTACAAAAAGTATACACAGCTATTTCTATCTAGAGGTGTGTGCATTCATTTGATTGAATATGCTCTCACCCATTTTATGAGGACTGTATAGCTCTTTCCTATTTTATGAGGACTGTATAGCTCTTTCCTATTTTATGGTAGTCACTTTTGTCCACTTTTTTCTTGTAGTCTGTTACTCAAAGCTTTTTGATTCTTGCAAATTACTACCTTCCCCTGACAGTGTATACTTTCTGGTTGCACTTTGGATTTTACTCTTCTCTGAAAGATTATACTGTACCCACCTTAAAACATTTTCTGTCACTTCAGAGTTTTCCTCTAAATTGTATAGCAGTTGCCAAGACACAGTGCCCAGTAAGTGGCTTTTGGTATGTTGGTCTCAGGGGAAACAGGCAGAACAAGACACAAGAACGAAGCTGGGTGGTTTGTCATTTTCAAATACTTGTGCATGCAGAGTTAACCAAGAGTCAAGGAGTAAAACAAAGCATCTTGATTTTAAAATGGGGTAGACACTGAATTTACTAACTACACTACTGTTAAAATAGAAATGCAAAGGGCAATAGAAGTCAGGATTGTGATAAAGCAGATGTGAACCACCAAAGAGCTTGGTGGGTCCTTAGGGAACAACATAGCTTTATCTTAGCAGATGTGAAGGATGAAGTGAAGGATGAAGTGGAGCAGAGTTATCACTCTTCAGTCCCTCAGAGGACTGTGTGCCAGAAACCAATTTCCCAGTTTAAACACCAAGTGACTTATGCAAAGACAAAGGACTAAGAGTTGAATTAGTTAATTCAAAGGAATATCTTGATTTGCAGTTATTGATGACCATAAGGACTGTGGTTTATTAATCAGTCAGGTGTGGGCCCTAGCTCCATGCCCCTGAAGCGTAATTTGGAGTTAGCTAGCATTTGGTGTAATCCCTTTAGGATTCCTGTCTTTCCGTGCATGGGTCATGTTGCACTAATTGTAGACAACTAAGAGGAAAAGTAAAGCTGTGGTCCCTTCTTACTATGATGGGCTAAAACACACACAGAAACCGCATTATGCCCTATCCAGACAAATTTCATTTACCAAATCCCATTGGAAGAAAAGGAAACTGGAAACATAAAATGTAAATAATTGTATTTGTTTTTTTGTGGCTGCTGCTATTCCCTGAGCTCCCTGCATGACATCCCACTTCACTTGGGGGCCAGAGCAGAAGGCAGGCTTTTGCCCCCATACAGGGTCAAGTAGAGCTAGGATGTGATGTCCTAGACAAAGAGTAGGGCTGGTCTGGGCTCTTCTCTGAGTAGTAGTACTTCCTAGGTCACACTGCTTTAAAAAAAAAAAAAGAGAGAGAGCCAAGTGTGGTGGCACCCTCCTTATTCCACACCTGTAATCCTAGTACCCAGGAGGCTGAAGCAGGAGGATTGAGGGTTTGAGGCCAGCCTGAGGTACATAGTGAGACACTCTCAAAATGAGAGAAAGAATTAGCAAAAACTCTCTGGGCTTTTATTTGTTCCTGAATATATTCAGGAGTATGTAGAGTTGAATAATTATGGGCACATAACCAGTGTTGCAGCTACTGCTGCTGCTGAAATTAACAGCTGGGCTGAAAACTACTTTTAATATCCTTCCCTCCCCTCACCCCATCCCCATTGTACTAGATCTGATAGAGTGGCGATTCACAAGCCAATTTGCAGGCTTTAATAGCCTCTCCTTGGAGCTAGCCTTATGACGGTTCCTGCCCTGCCTACTTTCTCCAAGGAGCAGGGTACTCTGTGCTTCATTGCTCTAAGAATTCCTTGATGGGAGACATGGCTGCTTATGGAGACAGAGTTTCTGATGTCCCAGATAAGTGCTGTGGCCCAGAAACAACCATGTGGTGAGACCTTGGACACTGGTCATCGTCATTCATTTCTTCAGGACAGCTGTCCAATAAATGTCACCATCTTTGTCCCTTATGCTGACAGTTTTTGTAAAGAAGCCAAAAGTGAAGGTTTTGTATGCCTGGAGTGAAGCAAGTTGATTCATAACTGGGTGGTGGGTGGGGCTGTTTAAGCCATCTGTCATTGATTGCATCCCTTTGTGGACAATAGGACCTTGATTTCTAAGTGTCGTTCACTAACTTAAGCTGGGGGAAAAACTGTAAAGGCTTCAGGGATAAATCTGAATGGCATATTGTACATGTAGAAATTTGTGGTGTTCACTTTTTATCAGAACTAAATCCGGATTCTGGGGCTGGAGGACAGATAAAGCAGAAGTTGTTAATGGTTACGAAGCAAAGGTAAAAGGAAACTCTTAAAATAAGATTTAATATAGCTATTTAGCTTCTGTGCAAATGGGAAGTCTGTTCAGATTTTTTTTTCTTGCATCTGTACCATGAAGATCCTCAGGGGAATAAGTGCTATCTACTATGTCTCTCACTTAGATGTTTTATTTATCATATTTCCCTTCAGAAAATTGGATAGTATGTGCTGAGGATGTCTGTAGCCATGCCAAAGAGAAACAGTTGTAGAGAAATGAGTTAACAGTACCAGTTGTTCCAGGGGAAGGACAAGCTAGTTCCTCCTTTAATTCTTTTTCAAAAAGGAAAAGATGGGATGGGGAGGATTAGATTTATCATATTTGTTCATCTTATTTTTCTAATAACCTGAGTGATTTAAAAAACCATATAATAGCTTTTGTGAATATGTTACTTATTTTTTAATTAGTTTCTTTAGTTGACTCCAACTCTTTATTTTTACAAAATCAGCCTAAGTGTAACCAGTAGGTTCATGGCCCATGTACATGACATCAGTGAATTTATAACATTATTGTAATAGTGGAGATGTCTGTGGAGTCATCTGGCATTTTGACAGTTGGCAAGCTGTTTGCTGGCTTTTCCTTAGTCTCACAGTACAGCAGAGATTGGCTAGCAGGAATGGAGCCAGGTGTTGCAGGGTCCTCTGGTGGCCTCTGAGTGAGCGAAGAAAGCTTGCATCATGCTCAGTGAGATGCATTAGGAACAGTTCAGGTGCCAAGTATGTTTTCAGAAGTTTCAACAATGGGAATCCACATACGGCGTAGACAGCTCTGTTAACTGCAGCCTTTGATTTTTCATACCATCATATTCTATAATTACCCCTGATAGCACAGCATTTCCTCTGGCAGTTAAAATTTTTTGTCAAAAGGCAACATGCCTTTTCAATAGTGACTTGCGGGTGTTCTCTGAATCTCCTTGGTCTAGAGAAGCTGTGTTCATCCCTTTTCCTTCTGCCCAGCAGATGGGTGTCTAAGTCAACACTTTTAGAAAATTACCACAGCTCAGGAAGTGTAGGAGACAGGTTTGGGTATAATAGGATACCCAGGTCAGAAACCTATTTAGGACATTTGTTTGAGACAGTTTAGCAATAAGAAGGGCAAGTAGGAAGATTCAGCTTTTCACTGTCAACTCCTTGGTATTAAACTTTCAAATATGGAAAATACCTGCTGTGCATTTCTAAATAGATAGTGTATTTTCTCTGAAGGATCCTAAAGTTTGTTAACCATTTCTCATTTTAATTTTGTGGGACTATATATATATTTTTTCTTTTTTTGCTTTAGCATTCTTGCTCTTGCTATGCTTATTTTCTGAGTTTCTATTCCATGTTTCACTGTTTTCTTTTACACACATCCCTTAAGGTTTACACAGTGAATAATGTGAGCGTGATAACTAAAATACGAACAGAACATTTGACTGAGGAGGAAAAAAAGAGATATAAAGGTAATTACTACCATTCCCTGCCTCCTTTTTTATTCTGTTTTTTTAGTCTATAGAGTGTTAAGTTTGGGGTTCATGTTATTGGGACATGCTAATCCTAACCCTAATCTCTTTTTATAAAAATTTTCTTAGAGTGACTACTTCTTGGATTGTCTACCCATAGTTGGCTTTGGCTATAATTAAAGCCATTCACGAGGGTTTCTTTTAGGTGTTATGACAGTTGTTGAATTCAGCCAAAAAAAGGTAGATGAGGATATTGGAGGATATTATCATTGGAAAGATTGATTTAGTATGAACCAGGATGATGAAAAATTTGGATGGAACTTGGGCTCTGAGCCATAACATTTTCAGTAGGTGGTTGCCTTACCCTAGTTCTGTTAGCGCTAGTGAAGTTATATACCTGCTGTGCCTCAGTTTCCTCAGCAGTGAAAAGGAGATGATTTTGGCCCTTTCATAGAGTTATTGAGAACCTTTAGAATGGCATCTGAAGCAAATGGTAAGCATGTAGTAACTGTTAACTACTAACAACACCTCAACTTACCATTGCTCCAGTTTGAGGATGAGGGAACTGAGGCCCAGAGCATAGGATAGTGAGTGGCCAGGGTTCGATTATTTGAATCTGGCTCACTCCCACTGACTCTTTCCACTATTTTTCTTGAATTCTTTTTTCTTTTTTAATTATCATATATTAATTGTACAAAATAATGGGTTTCATTGTGATACTGCTTGAATTCTTATAACTGTTCCTCTAGTTTAGAAATCCTAATAAAAATTGTTCTCTAAATGATAAAATTGTTTTTGTGGATGATTTTTTACCAGCCTGACTATAATTGTGTTTTCTAATGCAGGTAGCTTAGATCAAAAACTTTAAAATATTTTGAGGAACTTTTCTATAGTCACAAGTAAGATTTACTATTAGACATTAAACATTTCCCCCTCTGTAGCGGACAGGAACCCACTGGAATCATTGCTGGGGACTGTGGAACACCAGTTTGGTGCTCAAGGGGTAAGTTGAAGCACCATGCATTCAGAGCAGTTTAATGAAAAGAATCAATTGTCTGTGCTTGTGATGGCATTTACTGGATCCTGAGCAGGCCACTGTATTTGAAAAAGTTAAAATTCCCAAGTTGGACTAAGATAATCGTTTGGAAGAGAGTTAGATGAGTGACTCTTTGAAAATAAAGACTTTTGAGAGAAAGGGTATGATTACAGAAATCAGGTGCTCTCTCTCATTGGTTATAAACGAGGGGTCTCTCTATAAACATGGCACTTAAAAGAGATTCAAGACTTTATAATGTAACAGAGCATCTTAACATACATCTTTTTTACTTGATTCTCATAATACATATATGCAGTTGGTACAGTAGGCATCATTGAAGGTCAGAAAAATGAAATTTCTTTTCCAGTATCAAAGCTAGGCAATGACAGAGACAGAACTTAAACTCCTAGACTCAAATCTCATACACTTTGAAATATTTTTGTTTTTGTCTCTTTTTCTTTTCTGTAATCAGGAGATAAAAATACAAAGGGGAGTATAGAAACATTTTTAAGTTGGGCAATCCTTTAGACTTGCCATGTAGGTTGTAACACATTTTTGGACTTGTTATTCCAAGCAATAACTTAATAATAAAAATGTAGTGACTAGAACCTCCTGGCTAACTTGTTCACCTCAGAGACTGAGTATCATAGTCTCCACTTGTGAGCATCATTTGATGCTCCTGACTCTTCTGAGTTCTTCTTAGCAGGATCTCACTACAGAGTGTGCCACCACAAACAACCCTACAGCCATCACGCCTGACCAGTATTTTGATGAAGACTTTGATCTGAAAGACAGGGACATTGGAAGGCCAAAAGAGCTGACAATTAGAACACAAAAGTAAGAGCGATTCAGATGTCATTTCTATTTATGCATTGTCTCAGAAGTTTTAGGTATTAGGTTTAGTCATTCTTCTGCCCCTTTCCCTTGAAAATAATTTTTATGATGAAAGCTAACAGTAGATTGCTCCTCTGATTAGTCTTTCCAAATAGAATATAGATTAAGGAATTCTTTTTCTTTCTTTCTTTTTTTTTTTTTTTTACTGCCAACAAATATTGGCCTGTTTCCATTAGCTATCAATTTCTTCAAGCTTGCTGTCGGTTAACACTGTTGCAGGAGTAGGTCAGAATGCAGATTTCGACTTTAACTGCCAGATTTCAGGGTAATCTGCCTGCCTTATGGTTCTTGTCCTTGAGTAGTTCTGAGTTTAAGAGATAAGTAGGAAGCATGTGCAGTTAAGGAGGCTGGTGCCGTCTACTCTGCTCTTCCCATCTGGGGGAATAGCTTCAGTCTTTTCTCCATTAAATCCTGCAGGTTTAAAGCAATGCTGTGGATGTGTGAAGAGTTTCCCCTTTCCCTTGTGGAGCAGGTCATTCCCATTATTGACCTCATGGCTCGAACTAGTGCTCATTTTGCAAGACTGAGAGATTTCATCAAACTGGAATTTCCACCTGGATTTCCTGTCAAAATAGGTACTGTTAAACTTAAGGACACTTGTAGGTTCTACCCATTTTTGTGAGTGATAGAATGTACTTAACAGAATTGGAACATGTTAGGTACAGGTAGCATACAACAAACATAATTGAAAAGGTCACAATTATTCTCTGGTTTGATTTGATTTAAAGAAGTGTCATAATTTTTGGATCATTTTGCTATCACAATTAAGTGATTGCTAGCCATTAGTTCTAGTTATAGGTGGTGCTGACAGATGTAAAAAGGCCTAAAAATTATGACTTACTGTTTTAATGTTAAACCTGACCTAAATGAAACTTTAAACTAGGTAGTAATTTAAGAAGATAATTGACATCAAGATCATTTGGTATATAAATATGTTTTAGGGCCTGAGCTAGTGTTCATAATGCTATATATAATACATATTACTCATGAGGAATTTTAATTTTAGGTCATTGTATGTTCATGACAGTGAATCAGAAAATGCTTAATTCTTTGAATCAGAATCTTGGTTTACATAACTGTATATTGGGGAAAGCTGTTAGGATGATAAAATGAAATCATACTGGCAAAAGTACTTACATAGTGCCTGCTTAGTAAACACTCTGTGAATGATTGCTATTATTATTATTCTTAGTAAATTTATAAAGTCTTTTATTTTGTTAGAAATTCCTTTATTTCATGTCTTAAATGCACGGATTACATTTGGAAATGTTAATGGCTGTAGCACAGCTGAAGAAAGTCAGAATATGGAAGGAACCCAGGCTGACTCAGGTAAAATAAAAATTGAGTTTTGGGATTAAAGTATTTATGTTTCAGTCATTATACTAATTATTCATTTTGAAATTGAGTTATCTTATGAAGTAGATCTATGTTGGATAAGAGAAAATTTAGATTAAGTTAGATTAAATGAAAAAACAACTTGTGGGATATTATATTGTTTTTCATCTCTGTGACAAAATAACTGAGAGAAACTGAAGGAGGATTTATTTTGGCTCATAGGCAGTAGTTTCAGAGGTGATAGTCCATGTTGGCTGGCTCCATTGTTTCTGAGTCTGTGATGAGGCACATCATGGTGGCAAAGGGTATGGTAGAGCAGAACTGCTCACCTGATGGCAGCCAGGAAGCAGAGAGAGACAGGGAGGGCCCCAGGACAGGATGTAAATCTGAAGGTCATGTCCCTACTGACCTGCTTCCTCCAACAAGGCCCCAACTGTGGAAGTATTTACCCTTCCAATAATGCCATCAAATTATGACTCAATAAGTGGATTAATCCACTCACATTAGGTCAGAGCTCCCATGAGACAGTTGTTTCCCAAAAGCCTACCAGCTGGCAACCAAGCCTTTAACACATGAGCCTTTTGGGGGGATACTTCATATCGAAACCGGAAGAGATATATATGATGCCACTTTATTAAAAAGATAGCAAGTAGGCAAGGTGTGGTGTGTATGCTTATAATCCCAGCTACTCAGGAGAGAGAGGTAGGTGGATTGAGGTCTGAGACTGGTTCCTGGCAGAAAGTACAAGGCTCTAACTGAAAAGTAACTAAAGGAAAAAGGATGGAGGTGTGACTCAAGCAGTAGGGTGCCTGCCTAGCAAGTACAAGGCCTTGAGTTCAATCCCCAAAGTGATAGTTCAGTATGTTTGGAGAAATGTATGCATCTGTTTAAACACTACCACCAAGACAGCATTTTCAGATGCTTCCACATTTCCTTATGCTCCTTTGCCATTCATTGATCCAATTAATAATAACTAATAATAATTGTTATTAATAGGTGGTACTAGAATTTGAACTCAGGGCCTCACACTTGCTAGGCAGACACTCTACCACTTGAGTCACACACCTCATCCCTTTTTGCTTTAGTTTATTTTTCAGATAGGGTCTCTTATTTTTGGCTGGGGCCAGCCTTGGACTGTGATACCCTTACCGCTACCTCCTAAGTAACTGGGATTCTAGGCGTGCACCTCCAGGCCTGGCCCCAGTGTGTACTTTTGGATGCTATTTTAAGTGGTTTTTTTTCTTTTCTTTTCTTTTTTTTTTAATTTTCCAGTTAGTCGTATGTAGAAATATAACTGATTTTTGTATTTGGACCTTGTGTCTTGTAACATTATTGAATTCACTTGACTTCTGGTAGCTGTTTAAGTTTTTCCTTAGAATTTCTTTTTTTTTTAATTATTCATTTATTCACATGTGCATACATTTTTTTGGGCTATTTCTCCCCCCTGCTCCCCTTTTCCCCCCTCTCCCCCCCGCCACTTCCAGGCAGAACCTGTTCTGCTGTTATCTCTAATTTTGTTGAGGAGAAGACATAAGCATAATAAGGAAGACGAAGCATTTTTGCTAGTTAAGGACAGCTATACAGAGAGATTCCAAATATTGCTTCCATGTACAAATGTGTTACAACCCAAGCTGATTCATCTCTAACTGATCTTTACACTGGTTCCTGATCCCCTTCTCATGTTAAGCTCTGCTGCTTTAAGATTTCTGTATTAGTTCCTCTGGAGTGGGGACATCAAATGCTTTCATGTTTTGGTTTTCTTCCTATTCTGTATCTCCCGTATGTTACATATATGGTCTTGTCTGTGTGTGAATAAATATAATTTTAATTCTTCTTTGACATTCTTTGTTTTTCCTTTGGCAGTACTGGAGTTTGAACTCAGGGCTTCATGCTTGTAGGCAGTTGCTCTACCACTCAAGCCACTCCGCCAGCCCTATTTGTCTTGGCTGGCTTCAAACTGCTATCCTCCTGATTTCTGCCTTCCAGGTAGCTAGGATTATAGGTGTGAGCCACCACCTCCCAGCTTCGTTGACATTCTCTAAGCCTTTTCTTTCTTCTTGGGTTTTTTTTTTTTTTTCCATCTTTTTTTGGTGGTTCTGGGGTTTGAACTCGGAGTCCTTGCAAAGCAGGCACTCTACCATTTGAGTGACACCTTCAGTCCTCTTTTTCTTGTCTTATTGGACTAGATAGGACATATAGTGGAAATTGAGTAAGAGTGGTAAGAATGGACATCCCTGCCTTGTTCATAATTTTAGGAGAACAAGAGAGTTTTTTTTCATTAAATAAGATGGTAGCTGCAGGTTTTTTTGTAGATGTTCTTGATTAGCTTGAGGAAATTCTTCTCTTGAACTTCTAGTTTGTTGAGAGTTTTTGTTTGTTTCTTGTAGTGCTGGGGATTAAACTCATTGTAGAGAGTTTTACCATTATTATGTATTGATTTTTGTCAAATGCTTTTTCTGCAACTATTGAGATGGTCATGTTTTTCTCCTTTTGGTCTACCAGTATGAGGAATTAAAAGAGCATTTTAGTTTATATAAATTAAAACTTCAAACAAAAAACTGGAATCAACAAGAATACACAACTTTATACTCCCATGTGGCAATAAAGTTGAGTAATAGTAAGTGTTCCTAAAAGTGTGCAGCAAATGAACACTTATCCACTCTTGGCAGGAAGAGGAAAATTAGTATAATTTAAAAAATTGGCATTGCTTGGTACATTGAGGATGTATTTACTTATGACCTCGTAGTTTCTAGGTGTATACCCCACAGAATCGTACATATGTGGGCATCTGGAAACCCCAATAATGGAGAGCAGCATTACTCACAATAGCAAAAATCTTAGAAGACCTGAATCCCGAGATCATAGAATATGCTAATTGTGTTATATTAATATAAGAGAATAACATACAGTAGTGAAAATAAGAATTTATTGCTGAGTTCATCAAGACTGGTAACCTCAAAAACAGTGCTTAATTTAAAGTCAATTTGAAGAGTAAGTTCCACATAATTCCATTATATTAAGTTTAAAAATGGACTAAACAAATTATTCAGATTATGCATGTATGGTAAAACTCCTCAGGAGAGATAGGTAGTGAAAAATGCTGTTCTGAATTATGTGTTAATTTATATAAGGGAGGAAAGAGGTATTGTTAAAAGGAGTGTACCCTGGGTATGGTATTCGTATGTTTTGTTTCTTAGGCAAGGTGAAAGATATGCAGGCCTTTGTTTTATTACAGTAATTTTTATTTTAAATGTCAGGTATTTTATATACTCTTATATGTTTACCATATTTTCTAATAAAAAAGAAAAAAAAATTGGTGTGACTATGTGTGTATACACACACACACACACAACACAAACACACACACACGCCCATCCACATCAGGCATACATACATCACAGTCCTCAGGGTTATACAAGTAAACCCTGGCCACTTCTGGAGTTTGGAAATAGAATTGGTACATAGAGAGAAATCTTCAGTTTTCATTTTACACTATTCTGTATTTTTTTATGACTATGCATTAATTTGTTCATTAAGAAAGATCAAATTACATTTTACTGTCTTATTCTTCTTCAAAAATCTCTCCCATAATAACAAACCTTCATTGTTACCACTCTGATCCTTTACTTTAAAATTAAAAAAAAAAATTTTTAAGCTGGATGTAGTGGCACACAATTGTAGTCTCAGTTACCTGGAAGACTGAGTCAGGAGAATCTCTTGGGTCTGAAAGTTCAAGGCTAGCCTTGGCAACATAACAAGAACCCATCTCAAAAATTTTTTTGTCCCCTTAAAAGTTGAGAAGACCAAGGGCATTCCTGTAGTCTTAGCATTCAGGACGTTAGGCAAGAGGATCCCAAGTTTGAGGCCAGCCTGGTGATTTCAAGGTCAGCTTAAGCTACACAGCTAAATCCTGCCTGGTGGGGGGAATGTTAAGAGTCTAGGTTTATGGTAATGAACTCAGACATTGGCATTTTGTGTTTCAGCTTCCCAGGTCACAAACTTTGAGGTTGATCAGTCTGTGTTTGAAATTCCGGAATCTTATCATGTTCAAGACAATGGCAGAAATGTGCATTTGCAAGATGAAGATTATGAGATAATGCAGTTTGCCATCCAGCAGAGCCTTTTGGAGTCCAGCAGGAGCCAGGTGCGTTTGCCAGAATCAGTGACAGGACTTGGAGTGTTACTCTCCGGTTTGGCCTCAGTTTTTGGCTAACCAAAGACTTACTGTAGTTAACTTTGGCACGTTTGTTTTAAACTATGCACTGAACTTTTATAAAAGCTTGTTATGTAAGAGACCATCTGCATAATCCAGTCAGCATCATTGACAAGGTGAAAGGCTTTTCCTTTTGCTCACTCATGTAACTAATAATTGTGTATTTTTCTTTTTTATAACTTTTTTTTTCATGATGTGCTTTATAATTTTCTAGTGCTAAAACAATGATTTCAGGTTAACTTTTCTTGAAATATTAATGTATATGTCAGTAGTATTAGATGAAGGAAGTGATATGGAGTTTAATGCCAACTCTCTTCCCAAGGAAGACCAAAAATTCTATGATAGTTGCTCAGTAAGTATGTGATAAAAATGGTTGTTGACTCTGTGTACACATTATTTTACTCAAGTGTTGTAGTCCCTTTTGAAGGTATTACCTCATACTCTCTGCATCTCTAGCAGAAAGTAGAGCTAAAGACAGGACAGACCTGGCCTTTTAGTGTCTCGTGTCATTGTTCCTCCAGACCTCATGCAACAGTCTGAAACCTGAGGTTCTCCTCTCCTACCTTCAACTCCTGCACCCTTCCTCCTGTGGTTCCTAGCTCTACTCCAATGACTTTGGTCTGCTTTCTCCACCCTCTGCTGGGTCCTGGGTTCTTGCTATCCATTTGATTGGTGATTGGTTTCTTCTTTCTGTTGTTCTTCATTAGCAGGTATTTGTAGAGTGCTTTGGGAATTCTTTAGTGAAGTAGCTCCTGCCTCTGTCCTGATGGGACTGCTAAGCCCTACATTGCAGCATTTGAACTCACTCAGGCTTTTGACTTTCTGATTTTATTTTTAGAATCTCTCTCCTTAACTTCCCCATGTCACCACTATGTGTCCATTCCCAGACCCACTTGGTTTTCTGAGGCTGCTGGGCTGAAGGCAACACTACAGAGCAGGCAGATTCTCTTTTGGAGGCTCCTGGGAGAAGATCCTAGACATTTCTGTCAGCCCCTTCCATATGTAAATGAGATTAGCTTTGTTCCTCAGTATATATGGAAGCCTTGCTGATATAAATTTTGACAAAGGGAGTAGCCAAATACTGAATTGTATCTTCTAATCTTGCCCTAAAAGAATTACTTGCTTTGTCCATTTAGATGTTGTCCAAGGTTAGCTGTTAATAGATTATGTGAAAAGTATGCGAAGGTGGTGGCCATGAATCAGGGTAGCACCTGATACTCTATATGACCTGATACTTCCGTGTCATTTTTGAGGTAACTCAAAGTCATGCCTATTATCAATAATAGGCATGCAAGTATTTTTAATTTTGCTTTTACTTTTTTCATTTCCTTGTTAGTACGACACCTACTCCTTCTAAGAAGTATTCATTATCCATTATATTTGTTTTTGCTAGGAACTTGCAGGACCAGCTTCAAATGGAGGGATCAGCCCGACACACAGCTACGATGCCCAGTATGAGAGGTGAGTGACATTACTCTTGATGATGTGGCTCTTGTCAAACCAAAGTTGACCCAAGATGTGTGGAGACTTAAGTGTTAGCTCTCCTGCTTCTTTTTTATGTCAGCTACTCATTAATTAGCTATAATTTCTTGATAATGCCTTTCTTGGAAGGGGTGATAGAAGTGCTGACTGGCATAGGTCAGGGTCATTGGCAGAAAAACCAATGGGTAGATGTTTTTTGATAGGTTTGATCCACTATGAATGTCTATCTTGATGCCTCTAGTGGGATAGTAATACAATTTTAAAAGTGAAGACACTTTGGGGAAGAGCTACAAAAGTGATTAGAAGCTCTTTTTAAGGGAAAAGTGCAACTTTTCATTTTAAGAGCATTTTCCTATACATTAGGCATGTATGAGAACTGTAGATCAAGAACCTGGGTTTTACTTCAAAACAGACCCAAATTCAATTCACAGCATTGTAATCTCGTGGCTGGGTGATCTTGGGCAGGTTTCTTACCTGTGCACAGTACCTACACTCCTGTGGGTTAGATAGCATTGTGCATATAAAGTGCCTGGCACAGTGTACACTTGGTAAGTCATTAAGCAATGCAGTTGCTGGCACTGCTATGATGAAGAATAGTAATGGCTGTGTCTTTTCTTCCCATTTTATGACCCAGGGCTATCCAGGAGAGTCTCCTCACCAACACAGAAGGCCCATGCCCCAGTGCTCAGAGTGAGTCAAGTCGTTTTGATAGTGACCTGCAGCTGGCCATGGAGCTCTCTGCCAAAGAGCTGGAGGAACGGGAACTCCGGCTCCAGGAGGAGGAGGCTGAGCTCCAGCAAGTCTTACAGCTGTCTCTCACTGAGAAATAGACCTCTCTGTCCACAGACTGCACAAAGCAAGGCTATGGGCTGCACATGAGTGTCCACTGAGGTCCCAGAACTGAAGGGCCTCCATTTTGTGCAGATGGCAGCTGCCCCTTCTTTCTGCAGAGGTGCAGGACCATCGACTCCCCAGCCCTCTAGGTGCCCCCAGAGTGGAGAGAGGGACTGGCAGCCCCAGCTCCAGGCTATGGGGAGGAGAGCACCATCATTTTCCATTATCTGTATTGGCTTGCAGGTCACAGTTTTACTACCAGCTTTAGACAAAACCCCAATCCCTGCAGGTTAGTAGATACATTTCTATTCGGAAGTGATAACAAAACAAGTTATTGCAGAGTCAGGGTGCTTTTCTATATGAGAGCAGCAGCAGCAGCCCCTGTAGAGTGGTTTATGAGAATTTGAGACCTTCCTTAACTGTTCACCAAAGAAATGGGTTGTGCCGATCTACTCTTTATTTTACCTTTCTATAGGGTTTCTAGGACATTGTCATTTCTTTTCCATTTTCACCTTATTCCATATCTTTCACACCCAGCTAAAGTTAAAGAGGAGATATGTACAGGATCTATTTTAGATTATGGTTAACTATTTGCATCAAATTAAGAGATACAAATGACCACAGATGTTGCCTTAGCCTTAAAAATTACTAATAGTTTTAAACCACCTCGCTCCATGTATTGAGGGGATCTGATTTGAATTTGTAAAGGCAGTTCCTTTGAGAGCAGGATCCTCCAGGCTAAATCCAAGGCAGCTGTCCCTGGAGGAGCAGAGAGAGGAACCTTTGACTTGTTTTTGAAGTGGGTGAGCTGGCCAAAATAGTGGAAGAGCAGAAAGCCAAACTAAGTGTGTGTTCTAGGCTTGCTCCAGTGAAGGATTTCTATGAAGAAGCCTAGGAAGAACTAGGTACATCCTAGTTCTACTTGAAAGGGTTGAATTTGAAATTAGAAAGGGAGCTAACATGGAACGCAATGGCTCCTCATTCAAAAGGGAAAATGATGATTCCACATTGCTTTTTAGAGTTCAAATCAACATCTTTCTGGATAAATATATTTTTTAACAGAATCTTTTTATTATTTTTAAAAGATAAAAATTACTACTCCCATCAGTAGCAATACAAGGTTATACATTTTAACCAGATTTTCTCAGGCCTTTTTTGGATACCTTTAGTAGTTAACTATTTTGTCTAACCCTCCTGTAAATACTCATCATATAACATACAGACCCCTGTGGAATACAGCGAGGGCACTCTCATTCTGGCCCACGAATTCGTTCCCACAGGCTGCACTGAAATCACCTGGTATTCTCTGTTTTGCATCTATTTCCTATTACGCTCCTTTTGGGATAGGAAGAGAAATACAAACTATTCCAGCCAATGTCTATATCATAGTTAGCATTGCCAGGAAGATGCTCCTAAACACAAAGAGTTGTACTTTTAATGCCTGATAGCAATCTGCCTTTTTTGTCATGGTCTGACCAAAATTCTTTCTCTGCACACAAGGCCAGTATAGGTGACATCACATTTGTTTCATGTGAAGCTTGTCATTTTGTTTACTCAGCATCTATGAAGGGCAAAGACACTTTGGGGAATGACTGCAGTCAGGCCATACTCTTTACTTTCTAAGGTGAATCACAGGCAATTTCAGTTTTTGCATTTCATTACTCTGCTTCTTTGACCTTGTCCCCAGAAAAGTCACTCAAAAAGGGACTGAGCATTATGTCAACTTCTTATAGCATTTTTTTTCATGTTTCTATCAAAATGCAAATAAAGACTGCTTCCCCAAAGGGTGCTCATACAGTATGGTAGAGTCTGAGTCTTCTTTGTCTTTCATTACAGTGTTTTCTAGTCACTAAATGGATCCATGCTTCCTGTGTTGTCTTCAGTTGTATAGATAACAAGGTAGCATGCTTCTCTCAGCTTTCCTGCCCTGATCACTCTACATATGCCACACATGTGTATAGATGGAAGAGAAAAGCACCCAGTGTTGGGCTTCTCTGGAGAAACCTTTGTAGTCATCTCCTGAAGGTGCACTGACTTGTGGAGGAAGGGAGCTAGGCCAATTTCAACTCTCTGAGTGAATAGCCTCTTTCCTTTGAAGCAAAAGTGCTTTTGAGAGGCTGTTATTAAGACATTCAGATGATAATCAAGGTTCCCAGACTCATCCTATACCTAAGTATGTTGGTATTAAAACAAAACACTAATATATGGGTTCCAGAAATGAGACTTTGATATTTCTGGGAAGATATGAAGAGCTGCTTTGCTTTGGGGGCAAAGTAAACATCATTACTTTGAACCACAGAGCAGTATGAAGAAAACTTTCTCTTTTTAGGTCAATAAGTACAAAGTCAATGGATTATTTAACCAACAAACAGTTTTCCATTAGGTTCCTTAAACCTCAAGTGGCCCAATATTAGCCAAAACTTAACTGAGCAACTTCTGCTCAAAAGATACTATAGGAACCAAGTGTATAACAAAGGCCCTCAGAAAATCTGTTCCAAAACAAGCTTGTCACAACATACATAATGTGAAGTGTCGAGAAAGTTGAAAAGTCTCTCTTAAATAATGACAGGAAGGGGAAATTTCCATAGCTACCAGCCTCCTACTGACCACAGTTGACATCAAGGAGGATGAACTGAACTATGGAAAGTTCAAGAGACTCTGTGATACAGTAAGCCACAAGGTTTAAGAGCTTGGAGAGTTTTTACTGTTCTCTTTTAAAATCCTAAAAATGGTGATGAATATCATGGCAGCATATTAAACACACTGTTCCAGATGAGAGAGGATGGATGTGTTTCCCTGGGACTTGTCTGTCTTAATGCCAGTCTCTCAGCATCCTCCAGTCAATAACCGGAAATTTCTTTGAGACAATCTGACTTGGTGATTCCTTCTCCATTTGTATTTTTTCACATCACTGGATCTTAGAATTTGATTTTTTACAATTTGAGTATCACAATTATACAGATGAGAAAACTGAGGCTCTAGAGAAGGTAAGCCTAATACATACTTAAAGATGGAACAAGATCTAGGCCTTCTGATCTAGGTCCAGATTGAGAGTTTTTTGATATAATTGATACTCTGTCTAGTGACAAAGTATTTACATATGAATTTTAAAATCCTATTTCACAGTGCTTGCTTAAAAAGTTAGATTCAAACACACACATGCCGTATTTTAAACACTTGGGAAACAAATACTAGGAGTAAAACAGCATATAGGGTTTTGCTTTAGTTTTAATCGACATTTTGCTCAAAAGTATAGAACAGTGAATATTTTAATGGCTCAATATTTAAGGTTACAAACAAAATCCTTACACCAAATAGTTACAGTATCCTTCAGTTATTTCACATTAAATGCAGTTTAAAAAAAAAAAAGTCAGTGCTGTGCTTGAGTGGAGCACAAGAAAAGCATTTCAATTTTTTCACTAGAAAATTAAATCTAGCACCATTAAATAAATAATAAAACCACTTTATAGGTATGAAAGTATCATTTCATTAGGGGAAGAATCCAGTGCGCTAGCAGTGCAAACAGCAGCAGCATTTTCAAAGTTGAGGTTAAATTTTGTAAACACATGGCACATACTGCACAGCGGTCATGCACTTCTTGGTTGAGCAATCCAAGGACGCCTGTTGAGACTCTTAGATTCCCAATCTGAAAGGCTACCACAAATTTTAGACCATGGGCTACAAGCCTCCCCTTTAGGGGAGTAGGATGGAGTTCTTTTTCTGATGAGCTAACTAGTAGCATTTCTAGTCCAATTCAGCCTTCTAGGCCGATGTCCACGTTAAGAGGCACACCTGATGTGATCCTGACTTCAGTGGAGGCATCCAAGTGTGGAGTGAATGTAGGTGAGGAGTGATACCCTGAGTTCCTCAAAGTGGATACTGCTTGGAACCAGGGCACTCCAGGTCAATTTTGCATATAAAAAATGTGATTCTTAACCTATTCTGATGGAACAGATGTTAAGCAGGGAATGTCTACATGCTAAGTTTTCCTCTTACTATTTCAAACATTAATTACTTGTCCTTTCCAGTGTGGTTCTTATGGACGCTCACAGGGTCCCCATGTTTTCTTTCTCATGAACACTGTACCTTCACACCTTTACATTTGGAGCTTTAGGTCTTACTTTTAACAAGTATAGCCAGGCATAAAAAGAAACACTGTGAGAAGCAGACTCAGCAGCCAATAATTAATGTTAGGAACACATTGTTAGTTAATGTTTTTTCTAAATTATTTAGCATTTACCAATTGTCCAGACCAAAGGTCATTTCCAAGTAAAAAAGTTTGCATTCCAACTTCTCCATTGACCTGTGTGCAACACAACTTATCCTGTTCCCAAAAAATTTGCAGCAGAACTTGCTTGGCTGTTACCGACGACGAATAGGCTTGTAGACACAAAATGCCATAAGGATGACAGTCACCAGCAGGATGCTGAAGATGGTTCCCATCAACACTGCAAAGGGAAAACAGGTTATCTCTAGGTTGTGTTACCCATCCATTTGTAAACAATGATTTACCAAATGCCATCTGCTGCCAAGGCACTGTGCCAGGTGTGGGGGAAACAGCCATGAACAGACCCTTATTTGGGTCATCCCCATGTATACAGGAGAACGAAATGTAAACAAGTAAGAGCCTTTCAAGAAAGAGATTGAGGAAGACTATAGAAAGTGGAGAGATCTCCCATGTTCATGGATTGGTAGAATGAACATAGTAAAAATGTCTATACTCCCAAAAGCAGTCTACATTTAATGCAATTCCCATCAAAATCCCAATGACATTCATTAAAGAGATTGAAAAATCTACCATTAAATTTATATGGAAACACAAGAGGCCACAAATAGCCAAGGCAATACTCAGTGAAAATTAGAACAACGCTGGAGGTATCACAATACCTGACTTCAAACTATATTACAAAGCAATAGCAATAAGAACAGCATGGTACTGGCACAAAAACAGACATGAAGACCAGTGGAACAGAATAGAGGACCCAGATATAAAGCCACACAACTATAACCAACTTGTCTTTGACAAAGGCGCTAAAAATATACGATGGAGAAAAGACAGCCTCTTCAACAAAAACTGGTAAAACTGGTTTAGCAGTCTGCAAAAAACTGAAACTAGATCCATGTTTATTACCCTATACCAATATTAACTCAAAATGGATCAAGGATCTTAATATCAGACCCCAAACTGTAAAGTTGATACAGGAAAGAGTAGGAAATACTTTGGAACTAATAGGTATAGGCAAGGACTTTCTCAATGGAACCCCAGCAGCTCAGCAACTAAGAAGTAGCATAGATAAATGGGACTTCATAAAACTAAAAAGCTTCTGCTAAACTGAAGAGACCACCCACAGAGTGGGAGAAAATATTTGCCAGCTACACATCAGACAAAGGACTGATAACCAGAATATATAGGGAACTCAAAAACTTAAATTCTCCCAAAATTAATGAACCAATAAAGAAATGGGCAAGTGAACTAAACAGAACTTTCTCAAAAGAAGAAATTCAAATGGCCAAAAAAACACATGAAAAAATGCTCCCCATCTCTAGCAATAAAGGACATGCAAATTAAAACCACACTAAGATTCCACCTCACCCCTGTTAGAATAGCCATCATTACCACCACCACTAACAACAGGTGTTGGCGAGGATTTGAGGAAAAAGGAACTCTTACACTGCTGGTGGGAATGCAAACTAGTACAACTACTCTGGAAAAAAATTTGGAGGCTTCTTAAAAATCTAAACATTGATCTACCTTATGATCCAGCAATACCACTCTTGGGGATATACCCAAAAGAATTCGACACAGGTTATTTCACAGGCACTTGCACACCCATGTTTATTGCAGCACTGTTAACAATAGCCAAGTTATGGAAACAGCCAAATGCCCCACTACTGATGAATTGATTAAGAAAATGCGGTATTTATACACAATGGAATTTTATGCAGCCATGAAGAAGAACGAAATGTTATCATTTACAGGTAAATGGATGGAACTGGAGAACATCATTCTGAGTGAGGTTAGCCTGGTCCAAAAGACCAAAAATCGTATGTTCTCCCTCATACGCGGACATTAGATCAAGGGCAAACACAACAAGGGGATTGGACTTTGATCACATGATAAAGCGAGAGCACACAAGGGAGGTATGAGGATAGGTAAGACACCTAAAAAACTAGATAGCATTTGTTGCCCTCAATGCAGAGAAACTAAAGCAGATACTTTAAAGCGACAGAGGCCAATAGGAGAAGGGGACCAGGAACTAGAGAAAAGGTTAGTTCAAGAAGAATTAATTTAGAAGGTAACACGCATGTACAGGAAATCAATGCATGTCTACTCCCTGTATAGCTATCCTTATCTCAACTAGCAAAAACCGTTGGTCCTTCCTATTATTGCTTATACTCTCCCTTCAACAAAATTAGAGATAAGGGCAGAATAGTTTCTGCCTGGTAGTGAGGGGGTGGGGGGGAGAGGGAGGGGGTGGGGGGCAGACAGGGAGGGGATGGGGGGAAGGGGGGAGAAATGACCCAAACATTGTATGCACATATGAATAAAATTTAAAAAAAAACAAAAACAAAAAAAGAGCCTTTCAAATAGCTTGCTATGCCATGAAGAAAATGGTAATGTGATGCTGATGGGAGAGGGGTGGGCAACAGCAGCTAGGGTGGTTGAGGAAGCATGAGGAGACACACAAGCTGAGTGCCTAATAAAAGAAAAGTATGGCCATGCACAGCTCTGCAGGGAGAGCACTGCAGTTGTGAGGATCAGAAGAGCAAAGGCCCTAAGGCCAGAGCAAGCCCAGCATGTCCAATGATCAGAAAGGAGGCAAGCATGGAAAGAAAATAGGGAAGGAGGAAAAGGTGGAGGGAGGAAGGAAGGAAAAAAAGGGAGGGAAGAAGGAAAGAAGGGAGAGAAGCAGAAGATGAGGCAGGACAGGAAAGCTGGAGCCAGTTTCTGCAGAGCCTTGATCATTTTTCCCCCTAAATTTAAAGAGAAGCCATTGGAGAGTTGTAAGCAAAGGCTGACATGCTCTGATTTATTTGGGTAAAATGATCGCTCTGGCTGCAGTATGGAGAAGCATCTGATTATAGGGAGATAAGAACAGAAGCAAGGAGCCCAACTATGTTTGAAAAACCTAGAGATTCAATAAAGAACAAAGTCTCTAGAGGAGTCCTGACAAGGGCCTTCTGTCCAAAGCAACAATTAACTACCCAAACCTATTATGTTTCTGAGTAAAGTGTACATGTAAAAATCTCAAAGTTCTCAGGTGAGAAATGGGATCTCAAGGTTGAGTCTCATGGTATGGGACAATAAGGACCTGGGCTTTAAACTATTAACTTAACCAGCTGTCTACCAAGCTTATTCAACAGCAGCAGTGAGGTATTGTTTCTGTGACTATCTCAGAGACCATAGGAAGTGACTGAAAATGCTGTTAACTTTAGGAAGCAAATGTACATTTATATGTGCTTTTCAGTATGTGGGGCATTCTGGATTCCAGCTGGGACCTAACCAGCTGGGATAGTTACTCCAATCTGGTCACTGTTCCTTCGAAAAACCAAGATTTGACCATAGTTTTCTTTAAGGCAGTAATTTCAGAGTATTTGTAACCTACCCCTTTACTTACCCCGCTGATCCCATCATCTATACTTAATCTTCTTCTTCTTTTTTTTTTTTTTTTTGTAGTACTGGGGTCCGACAAGAGTCCTCCAAGTACAAGAGCCTTGCAGTTGCTGGTCAGGTGCTCTACCAC